CACCCCAAACACAACATCAAATCACATATCATGGCCATGGCCACGGCCTGCACCACAGAAATCACAGTGCCACGGCTCTGTGGCAACACCATTCTGCAAAAACATGGTTCCAAAGCACGGATCCTCATGGATCCTCAGGGTTTTTTAACTGGGTCACCCCAAACACAACATCAAATCACATATCATGGCCATGGCCACGGCCTGCACCACAGAAATCACAGTGCCACGGCTCTGTGGCAACACCATTCTGCAAAAACATGGTTCCAAAGCACGGATCCTCATGGATCCTCAGGGTTTTTTAACTGGGTCACCCCAAACACAACATCAAATCACATATCATGGCCATGGCCACGGCCTGCACCACAGAAAGCACGGTGCCACGGCTCTGTGGCAACACCATTCTGCAAAAACATGGTTCCAAAGCACGGATCCTCATGGATCCTCAGGGTTTTTTAACTGGGTCACCCCAAACACAACATCAAATCACATATCATGGCCATGGCCACGGCCTGCACCACAGAAAGCACGGTGCCACGGCTCTGTGGCAACACCATTCTGCAAAAACATGGTTCCAAAGCACGGATCCTCATGGATCCTCAGGGTTTTTTAACTGGGTCACCCCAAACACAACATCAAATCACATATCATGGCCATGGCCACGGCCTGCACCACAGAAAGCACGGTGCCACGGCTCTGTGGCAACACCATTCTGCAAAAACATGGTTCCAAAGCACGGATCCTCATGGATCCTCAGGGTTTTTTAACTGGGTCACCCCAAACACAACATAAAATCACATATCATGGCCATGGCCACGGCCTGCACCACAGAAAGCACGGTGCCACGGCTCTGTGGCAACACCATTCTGCAAAAACATGGTTCCAAAGCACGGATCCTCATGGATCCTCAGGGTTTTTTAACTGGGTCACCCCAAACACAACATCAAATCACATATCATGGCCATGGCCACGGCCTGCACCACAGAAAGCACGGTGCCACGGCTCTGTGGCAACACCATTCTGCAAAAACATGGTTCCAAAGCACGGATCCTCATGGATCCTCAGGGTTTTTTAACTGGGTCACCCCAAACACAACATCAAATCACATATCATGGCCATGGCCACGGCCTGCACCACAGAAAGCACGGTGCCACGGCTCTGTGGCAACACCATTCTGCAAAAACATGGTTCCAAAGCACGGATCCTCATGGATCCTCAGGGTTTTTTAACTGGGTCACCCCAAACACAACATCAAATCACATATCATGGCCATGGCCACGGCCTGCACCACAGAAAGCACGGTGCCACGGCTCTGTGGCAACACCATTCTGCAAAAACATGGTTCCAAAGCACGGATCCTCATGGATCCTCAGGGTTTTTTAACTGGGTCACCCCAAACACAACATCAAATCACATATCATGGCCATGGCCACGGCCTGCACCACAGAAAGCACGGTGCCACGGCTCTGTGGCAACACCATTCTGCAAAAACATGGTTCCAAAGCACGGATCCTCATGGATCCTCAGGGTTTTTTAACTGGGTCACCCCAAACACAACATCAAATCACATATCATGGCCATGGCCACGGCCTGCACCACAGAAATCACGGTGCCACGGCTCTGTGGCAACACCATTCTGCAAAAACATGGTTCCAAAGCACGGATCCTCATGGATCCTCAGGGTTTTTTAACTGGGTCACCCCAAACACGACATCAAATCACATATCATGGCCATGGCCACGGCCTGCACCACAGAAATCACAGATCCACGGCTCTGTGGCAACACCATTCTGCAAAAACATGGTTCCAAAGCACGGATCCTCATGGATCCTCAGGGTTTTTTAACTGGGTCACCCCAAACACAACATCAAATCACATATCATGGCCATGGCCACGGCCTGCAACACAGAAATCACAGTGCCACGGCTCTGTGGCAACACCATTCTGCAAAAACATGGTTCCAAAGCACGGATCCTCATGGATCCTCAGGGTTACCATCAGATAATATGCCTTCTCCGTGGCCACAGCCTATACTGCATAAATCACGGTGCCACGGCTCTGTGGCAACACCATGCTGCAAAAACATGGTTTTGAGGCATGGATCCTCATGGATCCTTATGATTTTTGCCCTGTGTCACCCCAAAACCACCGTCAGATAATATGCCTTCTCCGTGGCCAAAGCCTGAACCACAGAAATCACAGTGCCACGGCTCTGTGACAACACCATGCAGCAAAAACATGGTTTTGACCCACGGATCCTCACGGATCCTTATAATTTTTGCACTATGTCACCCAAAAACCACCATCAGATAATATGCCTTCTCCGTGGCCACAGCCTGCACCACAGAAATCACAGTGCCACGGCTCTGTGGCAACACCATGCTGCAAAAACATAGTTTTGACCCACGGATCCTCGTGGATACTTATGATTTTTGCACTGTGTCAACCCAACATCACCATTAAATAATATGCCTTGTCCATGGCCAAGGCCTGCACCACAGAAATCGTGGTGCCACGGCTCTGTGGCAACACCATGCTGCAAAAACATGGTTTTGGGGCATGGATCCTCTTGGATCCTTAATATTTTTGCCCTGTGTCACCCCCGCCCCTCGTCCTCCGGTCCCCTGGAGACCAATCCCTTTCAGCCCCCCCCCCTTCCCTGCGGGGCTGGCGCTCCTTCTCCCGTGATGACTCCTGGCCTGTCTGCAGCGGGGGCCGCTCGCCCAGCACGCCCCCTTTCCCCCATGCCAGGGGGCCCCCGAGGAGCGGTGCTCCCTCCAAGCGGAGTCCGCGTGAGCCAGCTCGCAGTTCTCCAGCCTCCTCCGGCTCACACCCCGTCTCGTCTCCGCTGGGGAAGGGATGGGGGGGGCTCCAGAAGAGCAGCAAACCCCCCCTGATGCAGCAGGAGCCAAGTCGATCGCTCACCACTTCCTGGGCCAGCGGCGCACGGGACTCTCCACGGCCCAGAGGGGGCACCGCTCCGGCGGCACCGCCTCCCCCCCCACCAGCGGCGGCGGCGGCTGCTTCCGCCCCCCCTCCAGAAGCAAAGCCCTCCCCGGACACGCATGCGCGCCCACACACGAGGAGGCGCAAAAGAGCCCCTCCTCTTTCCCGCCCCCCCCCATCCATCCATCCATCGGGGGTGGTGACAGAGCGGGCCCCTTCCTGGAAGGTCCGGGTCGCCCTTCGGTCGCCTCCCAAGCGGCTGTGCCACTCCCGGCCTTGCCTGCCCCCCGTTCCGCCCAGGCTGACCCCCCCCACACACACACACATCGGGCGCGCCAGTTTCCGTGCCGAAACTCCCAGCCGGGACCGCCCCACTGCCAGGCTCGGCTGGGCGGGAAGGGAGCGAGGAAGCAACACCCGCCTGCCTGTCTGACCCCGCGGCGGCCGACCTCGCAGGGTTGCTGTGCAAGGGGGGGGAGAGAGACCAGAAGACACCCTCCTTCCTTTCTTGGGTTTCCAGGCCGCCCTCCCCTGCGCCCTCCAACAGGGAGAGAGCCAATATAGACGACGTAGGGGCGAGGGGCAGGGTAGGGGGGCGCCGGGTCCCGCCTCCGGGAGCGGGGGGGGCAGTGGAGGAACACCCCCCACCCCATGCATTTGCAGCCCACCGGCGCCTGCGCTTCCGGGCTGCTGCAGCCATCCATGCATGCATGCGCGCACCCAGGTGTAGAAACCCCCCCCCCTTCCCCACTGTGCGCGGGGGGTGGGCGGAGAGGCTCTGGGAGCGCGGACGCGTCGCCTCCTTCCACCCTCCTCCCCCCCGCAGGAAGCGGACGGAGCGGCGGGGAGCACTCAGGGGGGCGACGGTGCGCCTTCCCCGCCCGCCCCGCAGATCCCCCGTTTGCAGGAGCCGGACTGGGACTCCTCTGGGGGGGGGGTGCAAAGGCCAGGAGAAGGAGGTGGAAACGCACGAGGGGAGGGGAAGGCGGGTGGGGGTCCGCTGGGGGCGACCGGAGGGTCTGAAGGAGGGGGGGCTCCTCGCAAGGGGGGAGGCCTGGACGGGTCGGAGAAGGGAGTGGGGGGGGGAGGCCGAGGGAGAAGAGCAAGAGAAACGATCAGGGGGCCCCAAGCGGCTGCCCAGCAGGATGGGTTCAAACACTCAGGGCTGTTTAGCCCAGGAAAGGGAGTCCGGACAAAGGTCTAGAAGGTTCCAAGCAGGAACCTGAAAGCATGTGGGA